TTCCCCACACAGCATCCATGGAGGTCATAACATGTTTTGTTTCCCACACTGATAGATCTGTCTTTCTGAGAGTAGAAAGAATGCAGTTGGGTTGGCCTTACTTGCGGGCAGGGAACTTGCTTGACTCCTAATAATCAGTTTTTTAAAAAGTCTTTTGAGAACAGGAGAGAACGCTGGAGTGAGATCCAGGCGGCAGGCCTTCCTGAGGTGGTGTTTTCTCACTGTTTTCTGTAAGGTGAATAGGAGCCGGCAGGCAAAGGAGAAAGGGGGTCTGAGTGGGGCTGAGAGTTCCAGGTAGACAGAGATACAGCTCGCGAGGAGGGCCGGAGCGGAGAGAGAAGGCGGCATGGTCTGGGCACTGACAGAATAGCAGCAAGCAGCCTCACACACCACAACCAGCAACCGGCCTGCAAGCTTTCAGCGCGTCAACCCAGCTCAGCACCCAGGTTGTTCAGTAGGAAACTCCTGGAGCCGTCTGTCCTTGACTGCTGTCTTCCTTCCTCCCACCACTCACCCGACCCATGAGGACCCTCACTCTCCCTACCGCGATGGGTCACTCGGGAAATCCTTGTTGAGAGGCTCACAGCCCTTCTAGGAGGTAGGTAGCATCATCTCCAGCTGAACATGGGGAAACTGAGGCCCAGAAAGATCAGTTCTAAAGGTCGCTCGGAGCCAAGACTTCAATTCAGAGGTCTGTTCTGGAAGCCACCCTCTTACCACTGCATTCCCTACCCACGCTGACGGGTAGCAAGTATAGCCTGCTCTTACAGGAAGCTCCATCCTGTGTCTTCTGACTGTGACTACAAAAGACCGGAACTTAAAGACCCCCTCGGGCTCTGTGTTGTGCTCAGAAAGGCTGAGGGTTGGCGGGAGCCAGGGCAGGTAAACCAAGTCAGGGAACTGCGCAGGAGAAACTGTTGGGCAGGGCTGGAGTCGCTTTATTTTTTCAACTAATATAGAAAAAGGTATTTGATATATAATAATGAGGTACCGTGTGGTACTCTGATACACATACAGACTGTGTAATGTTTAAAAGGCTAAATATAGCTCTCTCTTCATGTATCATTTTTCTTGGTGAAATTATTCAGTATCTTTTCTTCCAGCTTTCTGAGATACACGGTCCATCATGGTCGTCACCCTACTGCACAGCAACACACTGCAGCGTCTTGTTCTCATCTACCTGGACCTCAGCACCTTCATCCACCCTCCCGTCTCTCTCTTCCACTCTCCCCAGCCCCTGGGACACACCATCAATTCCACACTCCACTTCCCTGCCTTAGAAACACCCCACTGGCCACAGCGCAGAGCACAGACCCTGCCACTAGGTTAAAGACTGGGAAACCAGCTAGCGGCTGAGACAGTGGTGACCTCTGCCAGGGGGTTGGCCACGGGATGGAGAGAGTTGGCTGATCAAAGAGATTTCAGAGTTGTGACTGATCAGATTTCAGTTGAGAGAGAGAAGATGTCACTCGGGTTTGGGGTTCCAATAGGTTTTTCAGAATTTTTTTGACCATAATTTAAAGTAAGAAATAGATTTCCCATGTTGACACAGAATACGCACAAACACACACACACATGCATATGAGAAATGTGTCTAACAACAAATACAGGCCCTTCCTTTGTGAAAACACCCGTATACTCTCTCCTCTCTTCTGCAGCGTTTCTTGTGTCTCTTTGTTCTCTAAATGCTGCTGGCCGCTCTCTACACTGATTTCCTGACAGGGCCAGGCCTGCTGTCTGGAAACGTGGGGCGCAGAGAGACTGGAGGGGCCTTTGCTGAGGGTTGGAACACACAGCCTGGCCACCAGGCAGGAGTCTAGAAAGCTCTGTGTCCCTAGGCCCCTCCCTAACACCTGGGTCGTACTCAGAGTGCCCTGTCACGTGTACCAGTCCATTCCGGGCTGCCATCTGTAGTAAATCTTTTTTTTTTTTTTTTGGTTTTTCTCTGGTACCAGGAACCAAACTCACGACCTTGCGCTTGCCAGGCAGGTGCTTTTGCCGCTGAGCTAAATCCCCAGCCCCCGTCTGTAGTAAATCTTGTCAGTGAGCATGTGTACACAGAGTGGTGAGCGTGTGTACACGGAGGAGGGCAGGGGTTGTTGCCTGGTGGGTGCAGAGTTTCAGCTTTGCAAGATGACAGGAGCTCTGTGGACAGAGGGTGGAGACGGTTGCACAGCAAGTGAATGTACTTTATCCACTGCTGTATTTGAAAAAAATGGTTGAGACGGGAACATTAATTTATTCATATTTTGCCACCATTTTTAGAAACTAGGTGTAAACAATCTAATTGCCAAAAATATCCTGCCTAGTCTTTTAGAGATGAAGTCTCTATTGGAAGAGTTCTGGAAGGTAGTCTAGACCGAACCCCTTCGGATGACCAAGCTTCCTACACAATATTCCTGAAAAATGGTGCCCAGGGCCCGGTGGCCGGGAGCTCCTTGACCAGAGGAGTAGTTCTCATTGAGATAAGCTCAGTTTCCTGCAAGCTTCCACTACTAAGTCCAATTCTACCCTCTGGGTCATAAAAACAACCTAAACTTTTCATGTACTGGAATACGCATTCCCTAAATATTTATTGAGTACAGTACCACTAAGTACCACTGACTAACCTTCCCACTCTTCTCTTTTCCAGTTAAACATTCTAAAATCTAATGACTATTTCATATATTGTGTTATTTAATGTCCTTTCAGCAACTCATAGCTCTTTTGAAATAACCAAGTGGCCGCTCTTCTTCTTGTAGCGAACCAGCTAGAAACAAGACATGGCTATAGCCATGGCTCCCAAACTTTGCCACCAAAAAGTGGGCAGTTCCAGCAGAGCTTCGAGATAGGGTAAGGGGAGAGGGTGTCACGGCAGAGAGATCTGAGGGTCGTGATGACGGATGGCATGGGGGAGGTGAGATTCATCCTTCAGGTACAAGATTAAAATAGCATCCAGTCCTCAGGTGTTAAGGATGGATCCAAATCCAATCAATCTTGATTTTTATCTCTAATTTATTCTGTCTCTTCAAAACCATGTAAACCTTCTTCCCACTTTCCTCCAGTGAAATGTCTTTGCAGTGTGGCACAGGACAGGGCTTTGCTACTCTATAAATACACATAATATATGATTTCCTCCTTTGACCCTGGAACCTAAACAAACAGATTATGTTCCAAAAATTCCATGAACCCATAATTTAGTGGCCAAGTACTCCTAAAGAATTTCATTCTAAATATAGAGAGGTATTCCTCTGCAGAAAACTATCCCAGCAACTCGGTTCTAATATATAATTAAATCCTCTAGATACTTTGCAGTTATATTTTATGGCTTATTTTGAGTGTTCATATTTTATCAGAAAATTATAATTTTCCTCTAAATAGGAATTTTTACAAGGCTTTTGAGTTATGATGGCTGGCTTCATGTTTCAACTATAATTAACACAGTGAAAAGAAATAGTGTAACTGTCATCACGCATGATTCTGAGGAGGGCTTGGTCCTGTAGCCTCCCTGCCTCCACACGCCCAGTGGCCCTGGGGCTGGGGCTCACTCTGACACACTGTGGGTTCCGTTTGCAACCACTTGGCAGGGAGAGCTGGTTTTAGAATGGGTAGCAGGGTCTGGGAAGGAGGGTTGAGGGGAGCGTTGACTCCTTGGTGTGTTCCCGGACTCAGCTCAACGGTGTCTCCCCAGAGACGCCTCCTGTCCACGTCACCCCCCACTGTGGCTGCCTCACCCTCTTTCTCTTCATTATATTAGTTCACTTTCTCAAAAATGGTGACATCTAACTTATGAGCTTATTCTCTGCTTCTGCACTGGACTGCTAACCACATGAGGGCCAAGCGCAAGCCTTTTCATTCAAGACTTTTCTTTCTTTCTTTCTTTCTTTCTTTCTTTCTTTCTTTCTTTCTTTCTTTCTTTCTTTGGTACCAGGAATCGAACTCAGGGCCTCATGTTTGCCAGGCAAGTGCTGTACCACTGAGCTATATCCCCGACTCACTCAATATTTTATAACCAACTTCCTGGACCTACTCTGAGTTTACTAGGGCTGCCCTAGTACCACAGAGTACCACAGACTTGGGAACTTACTCAACAGGAATCCACTCTGTCACAATGCTGGAGGCTGGAAGTCTGAGACGAGGGCATGGCAGGCTTGGTGTGGCCTGTGGCCGCCCTCCTTGACTTGAAGATGACCACCTTCTCTCTGTGTCTTCATACGTTCTTCCGTCTGTGCATGTCTGTGTCGTAATTACCTTTTTCTTATGAGGACACTAGCCATGTTGGAGTAGGGCCAGCCCGAACTGCTTTATTTCCTTCAATTACCTTTTTTCAAGGCCCTGTGTCCAAATATCATCACACTCTGAGGTTCTGGGGTTATAACTTTATTAAGCCCTGGGAGGACACGGTTCAGCCCACAGTACACACATTAGGCGTTCAGCGAATGTCTGCTGATCGAGAAAAATGAATGAGTGAGAGAACACAGGAACCGTGGCAGGCGTGCTCCTGGAAGCGCAGGCAAACATGCTACGGGAAGTCGCTCCCTTCTCCCCTCCCTTTGCCCACCACCCACACCCCAAAGACCTAGACACCCGAGTCCATCAACTCTGGGCCCAACCCAACCAATCCACCAGACCCCTTGCTGCAAGTTCAGACGTGAACTTCCATCCCACAAGAGACTGGCCGTCTCCAGGAAGCCCGTCTTGTTTGTCCTCAGAGGACCCTCATGCGAGGGCGTGGCTGCACAGTGTACAGGGGTCTCTGAATTGTTTCCATGGTGATGACCACACTGTCCCAGGGCAGAACCAGGCCACAGAGCACGACCATCTGCTCCTCCTGTGCCTCTGCTGTGAATCTTAGGTCATCGCCCATGGGCATCTGTAATCCTCTCTGGCCTTGCAAAAGAAATCTCTTGTGTTCCGCTCACTGGTGAACTTTAACGGGGGTGTTTATCTTGAACTTGAGTTGCCCCTCAGGTGGCTTTGGCTCCCTGCGTCCTGACCCTCAGCTTATTGCTTTCCGTCAGGTGTCAGGTTTGGAGCCCCAGCCAGTAGCCAACAGCATCCTCTGCTTGCGTGACAAGAGATGGGAAGAGGTCAGAGGCGTCCTGACTTCTGTTTTCAGTCCCGAAAAGCTGAACGAGGTAAGACACAGGAAATACAGACTCTTTTCCTATTGGGAACAAGCTACTGTCTCCAAGCCATGACGGACAGCCAGTGCACCCCCATCACTTGCCCAGCAGCACATCAAAATGCCCCGTTTCCCGGGCCCTCCACTTCTCTATTATGCAGAAGGATGGGATACGGCGCTGAGTGCCTGCCACGTCTCCAGCCTCCCCATCCCCAGTTGCCATCAATCAATTGTGAGTTAACAGCACTTATGGCACTCCAGCTCCGTCCCTAGACACTGCTCCGGGCACTTTGGGGTCCCAGGAGAAACCTGGGACAGGCTTCTCGTACTTCCATGCATAATGGATCCTGTGGAGAGCCTGTTAAAATGCAGATTCTGACTCAGGAGATCCGGGGTAGGGCCTGAGCACACACTTAAAACAGCCTCCCCGGAGATGAAGTGGTTTCTAAACAGTGACATGCACTTTACATAGCAAGGAAGTGGAGGACGGTTTGAGACAAAGGTGAGCTCTGAATCCAGTCTTAGCTAGGGAGATCGTAGCCGTGGAAGTAGGAAAGGGATGTTTCTGGGAGAACTTGAGGTGGACCTTCTTGCCCAGGATAACCCTTGAGACTAAAGCAGAGGGACAAAGAGTCTCCACAAGATGCCGCCAGCTCTTTAAGGCCTGGCTCTCTCATTTCCTAACCCAAAAGGCCACTTGCTCCCAGTTGTGCATCTAAAAGTGGGCGTTTGCACTGCCTCTCAATTTCTCAAACACTTGATCCCAACTGCTAGGTTTTGAGCCTGAGCCTGATCGGTCCCTCTCCCTCAGGGGCTGATCTGGCTTTAATATCTGTAGTTCTGAATTGCATAATAACTCCAGAGTGAGTACCTGGGTGCTTGTGACATGGAGTGGTTAAACTGTACTAGTCAGTTTTCCCACTGCTGGGACAAAATACTCAACATCCACAACTTCAGAAGAGAAGTCTGATTTAGCTCATGGATTCAGGGGATTCAGTTCATTGTTGGCTAACTCCAAAGCAGGAATCTCATGGCACAAGGGCATGGGGAGGCAAAAATATTAGTTCATGGCTACTGGGAAGCCAAGCAGGGGAGCAGTAACAGAAAGGAAGGGGTGAGGGACCAGATATTCTACCCACAGCCATGCCTCCATAACCTACCCAGACACACCCAGGATTGTTCCATCAATCCTTTGGATGGCTACCGTGCTAATCAAGTTGACACAAGAAAGCTTAACCATCACACCCCACCCCTTGTGAATCTGATATCCAAATACACCTCCTTATACCATATTTAATCCCCAAATAAACACAAGGCATAACCTAGCATAACTATCTTGTGTTCAACCAAAAATGCAATGATATCTCCCCCATAGTCTCAACAGTTCCAGCATTTTTCACAAGTCCAAGTCAATCTCTCACCAGGCATGGTGGCATGTGCCTATAATCCTAGCACTCAGGGGAAGCTGAGGCAGCAGGATAACTGCTAGTTTGAGGCCAGCCTGGGCTACAAAGAGAATTCAAGGCCAGCCTGAACTGCATAATGGGAACCTGTCTCAAACAGACAAAAAAGGAAAAAAAAAATCAAACCAAGTCACTCTCTGAGACTCAAGGCAAACTGTTAGCTGTGAACCTCTGTAAAAATGAAAGTCAGTCACATAATTCCCAACATACAATGCCATATGGTATTTATTATCAATCCAAAAGGGAGGAAAAGCAGGATAAAAAAGAATGAGACCAAAGCAAGACTGAAAACTAGCAGGGAAAACATTAAGTCCTGTAGTTTTGTATCCAGCATCTGGGTACAAGGTGGTAAAATGTGAGTTACAAAGAGCTTGGGTAGCCCTAACCCTATAGCTTTGCTGGTCATAGACCATATGGCCTTTCTTGGGCTAGATATACTCATGGCCTACAACTTTCCTTAGCAGACATTTCATGTTCCTGGCATCTTTAACTTCCTGGGGTCTCACTGTAACTTTAGCTTCATTCCCACAGCTTCACACATTGCCCTCTGGGGCGTTCCTTGCCTCATCTCCAGCATTTCTTTGAAATCTGGGTGAAAATCTCCCTGAACCCTCAACTTTTTCATTTTGTAAACTGGTAAAACCAGCAACAGATGAACAATGCCATGGTCTCTGGTCTGCTGGAGCAGGACTCAGACCACCTTGGACCATGGCTGCAGAGGCCTCTCGGTGCCTGGAAGGCTGACCACTATGAAATGAGTCCTGGGGAGCCAATTCCCTAGGCCCTTTTAAAGCAGAGGCTCCACAGACTCCCTTTTCAAATGAAAAGTTTACATTCTTGCACTCTTAAACCTGCAATGGGCAGGGTTTTGCTAATTTCTGAGAAGCCCTCAAGCCATTTTTTCTTCTTAACCCTAAACAAAGTACTTGGTTTCTTTTTAATGGTGCTAATCTCTTCAGCAACCACACCTACTTTGACCTCAACTTTACACATAGTTCTTTCTGGGCCGAAATTTAAGATTTTCAGATTTTTCTGTTCTGCTTTTTGCCTCCAATAATCACTATAAGTCTGACAAAAGCAGCCAACAGTACCCATGGCACAGCTGCATGTTGGGCTGCCTTTGAATTTCCTCCAGAAGATCAATTAATTCACACACTTAATCTCATTCTCCAGCACACATGGACAAAACATAGGCACATTTTTTGCAAAAGTGTAAACACACATCACCTCTAGTCCAATGGCCAATCAAGTCCTTGTTCAGTAATGAAACCTCATGAGCCTGGCTTTTACTGTATGACTCCTATCAGCGTTCTGGTCCTCTGAACCCTGACGGGAATCACTTATCAAGCTCAGCATATAGTATTTTAGGGCTTCTCCAGCACTTTTTTTTTGAAACAGGATATTGCTATCTATTCCAGGCTGGCCTTGAACTCACTACATAGCCCAGGCTGGCCTTGATCTCTCAGGAATTCTCTTGCCTCAGCCTCCTGAGTGCTAGAATTACACCTGGCTTTCTCCAGCCTTTTTCTCCAAACTTTTCCAAACACCTCCTGTAAACTAGTTCCAAAAGCTTGTAAATCAAATGGTCTTGGGTAGTCACATGATGCCATTTTTTTCTATTAGTCAGTTTTCCTGCTGAGACACAATACCCAATAGGCACAATGATTTTGATTTGCATTTCCCCAAGTAGGCTTTCGGTATTGGCAGAGGACCTTTTCAATTTGTTACACTAGCTCACACTCACTCCGCTGAGTGTGCCTGACATACTCTAAGGACTTCATACACATTCCTCAGTACATCCCTACAAAATCGTTTTATTTTACAGAGGAGTAAACTGGGGCACAGCGAGAGTGGGTAGAGTGCTCCAGCCTGTGAATAGGAGAGCAGGGCTACAAATCAGCTCCAAAATTCTCTTCACATCTCTTCTCTGACCTCCCAGGGGTTTTCCAATAGTGCTCGGAAGCCCCCTAGGGCTGTCCCTGGCCTGTCTGCAGGCTGAGGGGAGAGGAAGTGGAGCAGAGAGGCCTCTTTGGAAAGCTGAAGGCTCAGAAGCTGTGTTCTCTAGTTTCTGCTTCAGCCTGGAACAATCTGAGGTACAGAAACAGGTTTGAGGTAGCAGAAAAACAATGTTCTCCTTTCTTCTTTACCTTAAGCTCTGCAAGAAACGGAGCTACCTTTGAATTTCCTCCAGAAGATTAATTAATTCACTTTTGCATCAGGTGGGCCTGCTAATCCTTCAGCTGAGTGAGACACCTGTAGAATCCACCTGAAAGAGGGTGGCAGATCCCATCAGGGCGGCCCCTCAGCCTGCGCATGCTCAGACCCTTCTTCCCAGCCTTGATCTGATATAGGTGAGCGTGAGCAGGAGACAGCCATCCATGGTCACAGGCACCCACTGGAGACCACTGCTTGGAAAACCATTGCTGCTTCAGTTGCACACCTAGAAGTTTAGATTAAATGGGCTTGTTTTAAGGGGCATCCTGGGGTTGAAGGATTGGGAAAGCTCCCCAGGTGATTCTTCTAATATAAACCCAGGGCTGAGAACCAGCACAAGGGAAGTTCCCCACATAGAAACACTAAGAGGGGAGATATCTGCCTCCCCTGTGGGAATGGGTCCTACTCCATATTTATCTGTCATCTACTGAGGTTTCATGAAAGAATGAATTTGTTGCAAGGAAGGGAGAGCCTCCCTTAAAAAATTGTAAGCCACTGTTTAAACCACATGGAAAAATTACATGAAATATAAAATGCTTAGATAACCAAGGGATGGGGAGAGGACAGGAGGGTGATAAACCCAGGCTGACAGTGCTCACTCAAAAGTGTTGCCTCACTACCCTTCATCTGTGTGTAAGCAATGACCACACGGCACTACAGATGTCCAAAGAGCATCATTATGGACTAAAAAAAACAAAAGTAAGGGAGAAAAGTTTTCTAAGTCTTGAGCTATGGTTCTTTGCTAAAAGGAATCTGATTGATTAGGGTCTGGATTTCTTTGGCACCTTATAGGGCAGAATCCAAAAAGTGTCACAGTGGCACTTCCAAAACAAATCCAGTGTCCCAGCTCCTGGCTCCTAAGAATCTTCTTCTGCTTTGGAACTCAGACCCTCAGTACATGAATTGTTTGAGGAAAAAATAAAAGTTTCTGCAGGGTGGTCACAGCACTAAGATGGATTGTCTTAGTTACTTTCTCACTGCTGGAACAAAATACTTGACACCCACAAGTTAAAGGAGAAAAGCTTTATTTTAGCTCATGGCTTGTAGTTGACTGGCTCCCAGGCAGTGCAGCAGGGCAGAGGGGCAGGGCAAAGGAGAAATAGTCCATAGCATGGCAGGAAGGCAGCAGGAAGCAGCAGCCTTCCTTCTCTCTTTCCCTTTTTTATTCCATCCAGGCTACAAACCTGTTAAGTGGTGCCACCCACACCCAGGGTGAGCCTTCCATTTTCTACACCCAGAACTATACTAAATCAATTATTGGAGCAGTCCAGGTATCACACCCATAAATAATCCAGTATCACACACCCATGACCCAGCCACCTCCCCAAGGCCCCAC